AACAATTTACTGCACAGAACATTGTTTCAAGTTAATACTCAGCAACTTCATATGGTAAAATATAAGTGAAATAAGTGTTAAGCAGTAAATTTCTTTATATATGGAGAAACCTGATTTGAATGAATATAATCAGATGTATCACAATTTAGATTCTGTCACACAACTTTCAGGTTTTGCTATTGTGAAATGTCAAGTGAAACATATATTTTTATGAAAGATTTAATAATGTATATATCAGTGTGACATTAATTTATGGTTCAGCATTATTCTGCTTTAGTGGTAAGAAGTTGGATATTTTTTTTCTTTTTGGGTCACACCCAGCAATGCTCAGGGGTTATTCCTGGCTCTGCACTCAGGAATTATTTCTCATGGTGCTTGCGGGACCATATGGGATGCCGAGGATTAAACCCGGCTTGGCCATGTGCAAGGCAAAAATGCCCCACCAGCTGTACTATTGCTCCAGCCCTGAAGTTGGGTATTTTACTTTATACTGAGAGATATAACAAGAGAAAGACAATGAGAGGGAAATGAGAACATCCTAAGGACTTGTATTATAATTTTATAAATATATTAATAAAATTAAAATAAATTTAAAAAATAAACCTTTGCATTAAAAATTAGGATTTATTGTGCATAGAACACCTGTTTACACCCTATTTATTATACATTGAGATATTTAATATTTGTAACAGCACTGTACTGCAATGGCATGTTTTCTTCACTTATGTAATTTTTTTGGAGGAGGACACACTCAGTAGTCCTTATGGCTAACTCTTTGGCTTCACTCTCAGGGATCATTCCTAGCTCAGGGGACCAGGTTGACTGTACAAGGCAAACATCTTACTTGCTATACTATTATTCCAGCCCCCATTTTCCACAATTTTTACCTCAAAAATTGAGACAGAAGTATCTGTTATTATTTAGTGTATTTAGCACTTCCTATGCGGGAAGTACATTTATTCTTATGATACCTTGGAAACTTGAAAAATGAGTAGCACAGAGTCATTACCTTGATCAGGGCTGTAGTTCAGTGGTGGGGTGCTTTCATGTGTGAGACCCCGGGTTTGATTCCTAGAACTGCAAAGAAGAAAAAAATAGCTAAAAAAATTACAGAAAACTAGGGCTTCAATGATAGGTAGTAAAGCAGGTAGATCAAGTGGTTTCCTTGCATATAGCCGGCCTGGGCACCCCGTACTGTCTCCCAAGCACCACCAGGAGTGATTCCTGAGTTCAGAGCAGAAGAAATAAACCCTGAACACAGCCAGGTGTGATCCCAAAACCAAAAAATCCAGAATGCTTTGAAAACCAAAGCTTTACTTTTTCCAAACCAAAGGTTTTTATTAAGTCAGGAGGCAGGAAGCCTGCATGATTTGAGTTAATTTAATGATGAAACCTCAGTTAAATTAACATGGAGCTATTTATGGTCTTACTCCATGCATTGTGAATATTTATCCAAATATTTTGTTACAGACACATTGCTATGTTTTAAATACTCCTTCAGTTCCTCTTAGGTATTATGCCATAATGTGATTTACTCTCCTTATTATCTTTCTAAAATGTGAAAAAATCAGAAATGTATCTTGCATCGAGGATTTTAGATAAAGAGTTGATAGCTTGAATTGTTTTCATTTTATGTCTGAGAGAACTCAAAGGTGAAATAATTTCAGGAGATCTTTCAACCCAGGAATAAGTCAAATTCTAAGAATGGCCAGCACATTTGATGGAATATTTCAATGCAAATAAAGTTGTTAGAATAGGATTTTTCTATACAATGTCAAAATAATCTGCTTGGTGGGAGAAATAAGTCATTGTCATGTGAAATATACCACTAGCAGTTCAAAACTGGCCAGCAGCAGTCTAAATTAATAGCTTATAATCAGTTTTTGCAGTTTACAAGGATTATTAGCAAAATACTTAATATTTTTTAATTTGCTTCAAAATTCCCCAAATAAATTTTTTTAAAAAATCTATCCGTTTAATAAAAATCTAAAAAGAAAAAAACTATCCTTTCAAAATTTGTTTATGTTAAAATAGTAGAGTTATGGGTACTTGGAAATATATTCTCAAGCATTCACTTTTATCATATGTCATTAATTAAAACTAATCAGTAATAGAAAATTAATGTCTTTCTTATAGGTATGATCACCGATCTTTTCATAGACAAATTCAAGTTCAAAGGCACCAATGTCAAAACCAAAGTACCTCTTTTATTGGAGATTTTGGACAGTTATGACCAAAATGCTTTGATTGCTTTTTTTGATGCTGCATGATTTATAAACCAGGTAAAGTTCTAAAAACGTTGGCGGTTGAAATTTTAAAAAGTTGAAGCTGAATTATAAGCTAAATATACTATAACTTAAAGCGATTTTTTTTTTTTTTTGCTTTTTGGGTCACACCCGGCGATGTACAGGGGTCACTCCTGGTTCTGCACTCAGGAATTACTCCTGGCGATGCTCAGGGGACCATATGGGATGCTGGGAATCGAACCTGGGTTGGCTGGGTGGAAGGCAACCTGCTGTGCTATCAATGCAGCCCTTTAAAGCGATTTTTAACACCTAAAATAATATTTGAATGTGACTTTTTTAGTAATGTTATTTTTTTTTACAAACGAAACTTTAAAATTAAGAGTTTTTAAAATTTTTTAAATGCAATTGGAGTCATAATGGATTTTAGTGAATTGTTAGCAAATGGATATTTTTAAACTTTATTGAGAAATACTGGAAAATAAAAATGTTTAAATATTTGACAGACTGCAATACATACATGTATAAACTACTTTATAGCTTTCAAAATGCATTAATACACATTATGTCATTTGATATTGACATCATTTTGATTTGGGGCAATACCCGCTGTGCTCAGGGCTTGCTTCTCCTGGTTCTGCTCTCAAGACTCATTCTTGGTGGTGTTCAGGGGACCATGTCTGTTGCCAGGGGAATACAACCCAGGTCCATCACATGCAAGGCAAGTAAATGCCTCACACGCTGTACCATTCTCTGGCCCTGCTCTTAATTTTGTTTTGCTTTAACTTTTTTTTTTTTTAATTGATTGAGGTTCTTTGAGTTACCATACTGTTAATGATGGTTTCCCATGCATATCATTCCAACACCACACCAGTGTACCCACCCCCCTCCTCCCTAGTCCCTTTCAAACACCACTCCCCACCCCACCACCAACAACACATTTACAAGAATCGGTTCTTTTTTGTGTTTTTGACTGCTACCTTGCTGTGTATCTTTAAGACCCACTAGCTCTGTCAGTGTCTTGGAAAATTGTATGATTTTATTCTTTCTCATCCTGCTGCTTTTTTTTTTTAGCTTGTTTTTGTTTTTGTTTTTGAGCCACACATGGTAATGCTCAAGCATTACTCCTGGCTCTGGCTCAGGAATTAGTCCTGGCAGTGCTCAGGGGATTATATGGGATGTCAGGGATTGAACCTGGGTCGATGGAGTGCAAGGCAAGTGCCCTATACACCGTACTCTCTCTCCCACCCTCTTAGCCATCTCTTAACTTTGTAAGACTAGAAGTAGAACCCAAGTGCTGGTGCCTGTTTGCATCCAGTAACTATGCATGTTGTCAGCCAGTGGGGTGGGGGGTAGGGGTGACTTTTCTCTAGGATCTTAGATTTATAACGTTTTGTGACCCATGTCTGTTGACTTGGCGTTGTAAATCATGGCCAGAAAAATAAGACTTGGGAATTTTAATGATATGCTGTAACCAGTAGAGTTGCTCAACTGTACTCAAAGTGAGCAGTACAGAACTAGTGATGGCTTCTTAGGTTAGGAATAGGCACTCATGTCTTTTTTCAGCCTATGCAATGGAAAGAAATTTTAATTTGTACTTGAACATTCCTAATTGTAAATCTTGCAAACCAATGACTATAAACTGAAGCTTTAAGCTGTGACATTACAGACACACACACACATTCTGTTTTTAAAATGGTCAGCAGAGGACATAGGAAAAATAGCTAACGAAGTTTTGTTAATCTCAACTCGTTGATTTATATATGAGGAATTGTTTTGTTTTTAGGCGTGGATAGAATTCATTCCTCCCAGCAAAGGCCCTACTACTAAATCCCATTCCCAGACTGGAATGTTGCATTCTTTTGTTTTTTATGTGCCAAAAAAATGATACTGGAAAAAAGGAAACTTTCATTTTAAAGGAGGGATTCATGTATGTTAGAAAACAGTAGCTTAAGTATATGTCTTTTTTTCCCTTGTATATTAAATATGAAAATTTGCTAAAGGCACAAGTAGCTAGAAAGTTTTTGTTTGGTTGGGTTTGTTTTTTGGCGTTTTGGCCACAGCTGGCAGTGTTCAGAGCTTACTCCTGGCTCTACACCCAGGGATCACTCATGGTGCGCTTGGCGGGGTTTTATGGGGGTGCAAGGGATCAACCCTGGGTCAAACCACGTGCAAGGCAAACGCCTTACTGGCTGCCCTCTCCCAGTGGCCCTTGACGGCTGCAAGTTCCAAGTCGGTCTTTTCACACGACCCTTAATTCTTAATGGAACACGGCTTGTGCAGGCCTCCGGAATTACACTGGGTGCTGTATGTTGGCTGCCGACTTGGAGGATGGCCGGCTAAGAACGGATCAGGCAGAGCCCTAAACCCACCGCTTCTTCCCGGGCGGGCGAGGGTGGGGCCCAAGGGGCTGGATCAGGCCAGCCCAGCAAGCGGCGCGGGCGCCGGCGCGGCGCGGCCCGGCCCGGCCCGCCCCGGCCCGCGCAGGCGCGCTCGCCGCCGCCCCGCCCGCCCCACCCCGCCCCGCCCCGCCGCCGCCGCCGCCGCCCGCGCAGGCGCGTTTCCTCCCACGCCCCGGCTTTCGCGCCGCCCTCGCTCGCTACGGGCGCGGCGCCGGAGTGACGTCACGGGCGCGGCGCCCGGATTGGTCCATTTCAATAGTCGCGGGACACTTGAACTGCGCGCACTGCCGGACTGCGGCGGCGGCTCGCTCCTGCTCTGTCGGCTCCGGCCCGCGCCGCGTTCCAGCTCGGCTCGCGATCACGGGGCGCGCACTCGGGCCGCGGCGGCGGGGCGGCGGGGCGCGGCTGCAGGCGGCGCCCGGAGCCGGGATGCTGGGCGGCTCTGCGGCCCGCGAGGCGGGCGCGGCGCTGCTGGCGCTGGAGGACCAGGAGAATGTGGACCCTGCGCGGGCGCCCGCCCCGCAGCCGCGCACCCGCGCCGCGCTGGCGGTGCTCAAGGCCGGGAGCCTGCGCGGGCCGCCGCCGCCGCCGCCGCCGCAGCTGCAGCGGCCCAAGGCGCGCCGGGTGAGTCGGGCGGGCCGGGCCGGGCCGGGCCGGGCCGGGCTGGGCGCGGGGCGCGGGGCGGGCGCGCGGGGTCCGGCCCTGCCGCTGCACGGGTCGGCCTCCTTTCGCACCCGGCCCGGCCCCGCTTCGGTCGGAGGCTGCCTCGCTGTAGGAGGGTGTGAAGAAAACCTTGACTTTTTGGAAAATTGCGCCATTTTAGCCGGATTTGTTCTGGGTTCCACCCTGCGGTGAAAGCGGTGGCCGACAGCCTTCTTTTGTCATCCCTTCCCTACATGTCCGCTCGGTTCCTTTACGCTCAGTATCTCCGACCGTTGTGGAGATGCTTGTGATAGACGGCAGAGCCCCTTTCTGAATTCTACTCATTGGGGCTTGTCTGGGCTTTGTTTTTTAACTCAAAGGAAAGGCTCAGGCGCACAGGGAAAGGAAGCAAAACTTCCATGCGATAGCTCAAAGCTAGCTCTCTGTTTCTTTTCAGGTTGCACCTCTTAAGGATCTTCCTGTAAACGATGAGCAACTCACTGCTGCTCCCTGGAAAGCAAACAGTAAACAGCCTGCATTCACCATCCACGTGGATGAAGCAGAAGAGCCACAGAAAAGGCCTGATGAACCCAAAAAAGAATGCGAAGATATCCTGGCGTTTAATTCAGCTATTAGTTTACCTGGACCGAGAAAACCACTGGTACCTCTTGATTGTCCAATGGATGGTAGTTTTGGTAAGTTTTAGGGGAAAATTAGGTAATCATTAAGTAGGTTCAATTAGTGGTGTTTTGCATCTTAAGAAATACTACAAAATGGTTGGAGAGATCCTCCATGGGCTGGGGTACAGGCTGTCTTCCTTCTACCACACGGACATCCCCTGAGCATTCAGGAATGACACCACTCCATCTGGGCTTGAGAGTTGCCCCTGAGCACCACAGGGTGTGGCCCCAAATCAAACCAAAAAATTACTTTCTTAGCTGATCCTTAGTACTTAATGAAAGGGTTTTGTGGATTTTATTTTACTCTAACTCTAGATGTATTTGCTTGGTGGTGCTGTAGTCAGTATTCACTTTGTACGAACACTTTATTCAGAGTGGTCTGCGAGGGTGTACCCTTAAATTCTGTGAGATGTAACACCCCTGCAAACTTAAAATTTGTTTCAATAAAAGCAGTTTAATAATACATCAAGAAGGGCATTTGGGGAAAAAATGGGGCTGGAGCGATAGCACAGCGGGTAGGGCATTTACCTTGTGCGCAGCTGACCCGGGTATGATTCCCAGCATCTAATATGGTCCCCTGAGCACCGCCAGAAGTAATTCTTGGGTGCATGAACCAGGAGTAACCCCTGTGCATTGCCGGGTGTGACGCGATCACGATCACGATCATCCTGTTGTTCGTGGATTGCCTCGAGCAGGCACCAGTAACGTCTCCTTCGCCCTAGCCCTGAGATTTTAAAAAGTGCCATATTCAAGGCTCTTTCAGGGTTAGAAGAATGAGACCCATCACTGTTACTGGTATTTGGCATATTGGGTACCCCACGGGGAGTTTGCCAGACTCTGCCATGTGGGCAGGTTGCATTCAGTAGCCTGCCAGGTTGTCCAAAGTAAGAGAGAGATAATAAGATGTCGGGAGCTTCCTGGAGCTGGGTTTTATAGTCTCTTGGTCTTGGCCATTGATGGGATTACGTTGGTTGATGGGATTACACGGTGTGATGCAAAAAAAAAAAAAGGGCATTTGCCTTGAGTATGGGCTGGAGCGATAGCACAGCGGGTAGGGCGTTCGCCTTACAAGCGGCCAACATGGCCGACCCGAGTTCGATTCCTCCGCCCCTCTTGGAGAGCCCGGCAAGCTACCGAGAGTATTCGATATGCCAAACACAGTAACAACAAAGTCTCCAATGGAGACGTTACTGGGCCCGCTCGAGCAAATCGACGATCAACGGGGAGGGCCTTTACCTTTACTTACTTTTATGGCCAGCCCAGGTTTGAACCCTGGCATCCCATATGGTTCCCTGAGCCCATCCAGGAGGAATCTCTGAGTGCAAGAGCTGGGAGTAAGCTCTGAGCACCAATGGGCGTGACACTACCCCTCCACCCTCCACCCCAAAAGGCAGTTTGATTACGTAGGAGGGACATTGTCCTCCAGTACTATAATTGATTTGTAATTTACACTTGGGTGTCTGCTGCAGACAGTGCTGCCTGGTTTGTACTGTTTCTTTAAAATAAAGCTCTTCAGTCAACTCTGCAGCTCTCTAAATCCAATCCAGTTCAACTCAGTTGCATTGATGAGAGAAGTAACTGAAAAGTAAGTAAATAGTTCAAAGGATATAGCTCCAAGTTAATCCCTAGCACTGCATTATCCCCCAGGCCAAAAATAATAATTTGTAAGTTTTTGTATAGGTTTTTGGGACAAATTTTAACTCTGTTGTGAGCACTTAAGTCCCGCTGAGTCAGTCTGTCTTTGGGGTCTGCATACATGAGGACAGAGCTAAAACCGCCAAACTTGGGTTAGCTCTGTCCTAACAGCCATCCTTTATTCCATTCTTCAGCCTAATAGCCCATCCTCAAATTCTTTCCTGTGTGTGGCCAGTAGCTTTTATTTATTATTAAAGTCATTCTAAAGTCATTTTTTAATAAAGGTACAGGGCACAAAACCATGGTGAGGTATGCTTTTGTGCATACCTGTTGGGATGAAGTGAATGTTTTGATTGATCATAGAGTTTCTGATAAGAGCATCCACACTTCACTGTTAAATAACAAATTACTAAGAGCTTGATCACATTTTGACTTCTCCCAGAGTCCCCACACACTATGGACATGTCAGTTATTCTGGAAGATGAAAAACCAGTGAATGTGAATGACGTACCAGACTACCATGAGGACATACACACATACCTTAGGGAGATGGAGGTAAGTACAATTTCCATTCTATTGCTTACAAGGGGCTGGAGCGATAGCACAGCGGTAGGGCGTTTGCCTTGCGCACAGCTGGCCCGGCAGAGCCTGGTTCGATTCCTCCGCCCCTCTCGGAGAGCCCGGCAAGCTACCGAGAGTATCTTGCCCGCATGGCAAAGCTTGGCAAGCTACCTGTGACATATTCAATATGCCAAACACAGTAACAACAAGTCTCACGATGGCGATGTTACTGGGCCCGCACGAGCAAATTGATGAACAACGGGAGGACAGTGACAGATTACCTACAAGAATGAAACTGACAGGTTGTTTAATATTTGTAACTGCTAATGACTAGTTTACTGTTTCCAGCGCATAGAATCTTTGCTAATGGTAAAATAGTCTTATTTCAGTTTTAACACTTTCTCAACAGGTTAAATGTAAACCTAAAGTAGGTTACATGAAGAAACAGCCAGATATCACTAACAGTATGAGAGCTATCCTTGTGGACTGGTTAGTGGAAGTAGGAGAAGAATATAAACTACAGAATGAGACGCTGCATTTGGCAGTGAACTACATTGATAGGTTCCTCTCATCAATGTCAGTGTTGAGAGGAAAACTTCAGCTGGTGGGCACTGCGGCTATGCTGTTGGCCTCGTAAGTACAACTTGGTTTGTTGGATTCAGTGATTGTTACTTTTCTGCATAGGGAAGAAATGATAGTTATAAACTTTGTGATGCTTTAGCACACCATACAAAGTAATTTCCTGCTTTAGTTTTGGCATTTGTGGCTAAAATCCTTAGTACATTAGTTTTCCCAGATGTGGATACTGTGGGTCCTTTAATGAACATGGTTATTGGCTACTTTTTCCACACACACTAGGACTAGTTTACATACGTTTAAAAGACTTCTTGTGTGTGCGCCAAAGAGATAGTATAGTTGGTGAAGCATTTGCCTTGCCTATGGCAGTGTTTGTACCTTGTACCACATGTGGTTCCCCGAACAGAGCCAGGAGTATGTCCTAAGCACTGTTAGAAGTGACCTAAGAAACAAAACAAGAACTAAAAAGACTGGTTCCTAGTGCTTTCTGCCAGTTAAATCTCCCTGTTGAACTTAGAAAAACATGAAACATGTATTATTTTCTGTTGGAAATGGTCACCTGTCAGTGGGAACAGGTCACTGGAGAGGGACTTTGGGGTCTTCATTGTGCTTAAAGGGACTAGAGTTGGGATAAGGAAGTGTGCTTGTTTGGGGACTGATTGCTAAAAACTCTTTATTGTAGAAAGTTTGAAGAAATATACCCCCCCGAAGTAGCAGAATTTGTGTACATTACAGATGATACCTATACCAAGAAACAAGTCCTGAGAATGGAGCACCTAGTTCTGAAAGTCCTTGCTTTTGATTTGGCTGCACCAACAGTAAATCAGTTTCTTACCCAATACTTTCTACACCAGCAGTCAGCAAACTGCAAAGTTGAAAGTTTAGCAATGGTAAGTTCTTCTCATTTTATTGAATAATACTCTTTGGTGTAATGATAATTATGGAAAAACCTTGATTTTATTATGCAGTTTTGATTAGGGGATTCTTTCATTATTCCCAGGCTGGTTGGTGCTCTGCAGTAAGAGAAAGCCTACCTTTGCCGAAGGCGATATAAGTTGACAAAAACTAAGAATAGCAGTGTGTCGAGTCTTGTAAGATGGCAACCAGGATAATTGCTGTAGGAATCATTTAAAAAGACCAGAGATAATTGCAGGGTTAAGGCACTTGCATTGCATGAGGCTGATCCTAATTCAATCCTCAGCACTAGGTGTTTCTTAAATACCACTGAGTGCAGCCCTGGAGACCCCATACCACTGGACCTAAGCAGCACCTCCACCTTCATTAAACTGCCAGCCCATTGGCTAAGAATCGCTCTAACTGGCCCGTGGGTCATCTCAGCATTGCTTGGAAAAGCCCTGCATCACACTTTCCTCCCCCACAAAAAAGAAAAGGGAACAAATAAAAGATGAATATGGGGAAAACATTAAAATTGCGAATAAAGGGCTGAAGCTACTATTGCGTGACTAGGGCACTTGCCTTATAAAGAGATGACCTGGTTTTATTCTCCAGCACCCATATGGTCCCTGAGCCCATTAGGAGTGCAGAGCTTGGAGTAAGCCCTGAGCACAGCTGGGTATGGCCCCAATTTTTTTTTTAAAAGATAGTATGTGAAATTAAAAATTGAGCTATTGTAATTTATCTCCCTCTGTTGCTATAGAGCTGATCTTAAAAGACGGATATTTTTTTAAAAAACTTACATGCTAAGGATTTGAAATTTAAATCCTGGAATTCTTGTGATCATAAAGCATATGCATTTTTCATTCCAGTTTTTGGGAGAGTTAAGTCTGATAGATGCTGAGCCATACCTCAAGTATTTGCCATCCGTTATTGCTGGGGCCGCCTTTCATTTAGCACTCTACACTGTTACAGGACAAAGTTGGGTATGTATCACATCTTTGCCTATTCCCAGTGATGTAATGCTAATGCCAGAATGAAGTCTCTAGAACAGGACTCTTTGTAAACTTCTTCCACTCATTTTGCCGAAGAACTTGGGTGAGCCCTTCTAGACACACCTTAGATTTATAGCTAATGTGATTGATTTTGAAATAATTTTTGGTCATTGGAGGTTCAAAACTCATTTGCTCTTGTCAGATTTTTAGTTTTCTTTTTTATGCTACCCCACATGGGGTTGTGACCCACAATTTAAGAAGCTAGGTCCAAGACAACTATCAGGTAACTTGTACTGAGAAAACTATTATAATGGCTGTAATGTTGTAATGTCTGTATCATTGCTTAAAGTGACTTTCTATTTATTTAACATGATGTAAGGTTGAAAGGTTTTGATTTGAAAGGTGTGTTTAAAGAATTCCCTGCTAGTAGGGAAAGGAGGAAAAGCCCATCAGAACTGGCATGAGAGGGGCCTGAGCGGTAGCACAGCGGGGAGGGCATTTATTTGCCTGGCAGATGACCAAGTTCGATCCCTGTCATCCCATATGGAAACCCCTGAGCATCACTGGGTGTATTCCCCCGCAACTCCCCCCCCCCCCCCAAAAAAAAAGTTAGTTCTAGTACTGGAGTTTCAAACTCAAGTTTAATGCTAAATACCCATTGTGTTTAGGTTTTACTAAACAAAATTCATTGTCTCTTCTCCCTTCTCTGTAGCCTGAATCACTGGTTCAAAAGACTGGATATACTCTGGAAAATCTTAAGCCTTGTCTCATGGACCTTCACCAAACCTACCTCAGAGCACCACAGCATGCACAGCAGTCAATAAGAGAAAAGTACAAACACTCAAAGTAAGAATTATGTACCAAACAATCTTGCTTTTCCAAAAACTATGGGGTCAGGAGGCCTTGCCATTTCTCAAAGAGCTGGAGCACATGCTTATCCATAGAGGCGGCCTAAGTTCAATCCCTGAGCACATCTGGCCACATTCATTGGTTTAGGTAGCAGTGAGATGCTTTCTGCCCTGCATCTGCTGAGGATGTGAAAGGGGACATGGGTATATGTGTACTTTTAGGTGGTCGATGATAGAAGCGTCACTTTTCCTTCCCTCTGTTAGTCAGTGAACAGTTTTCACTTGCACATTTGTTTGCAGCTTGCCAGAGATTGCATACGTTTTGGTACCAGGGATCCCAGATGTCTTTGCTATCAGGGTGGCATCTGGCATGTGGAAAATGCCAGGGCTTGAACTTGTGGCCTCATGCCTGTAAGGTAGAAGTTGCTCTATTACTGAGCTATACCTGGACCCAAGAAATAACATTGTTGAGATTCTAATATAACCCTATGGTTTTCTCACTGTTTCCTAATACAGATTTCTCTCCCTTACTTGCAGGTATCATGGCGTTTCTCTCCTCAACCCACCAGAAACACTAAATGTGTGACAGAGGCTATATTGGTTTACTAAGGTGTAAATCAAAGTATATGATGTACAGTTTTTATTTGAGGTTTTAAGTTTTACAATCATTTCTGAATACTGAAGTTATAGTCAAGTACAAATTATGGTATCTATTGCTTTTTTTAAATGGGTTAAATTTGTGTATCTTTTGTACATTTTACACTATCTTAGATATCTGGCTGATTTTAAGTGGTTTTATTAACATTAATGACACCTGTCAAGATGATAAAAATAAATAAATTGATTTGGAAAACTTGGAATAAGTCAAATTTAATTTGAGGTTGAAATGTGACTAGAATTTCATTGAGAAAAATTAGGGCAAATATTTTTTCCTAAAAATAGCTTTAGGAAAATAGACCCTCATCATCTATCTCAGTGAAGACATTTGTTTTCCTAAGCAACTGAGTTTGCTGACTTGGGTATAATCTGAAATCAACCCATACTTGATTTCAGCACTGAGCAACTATCACTTACGGAAGGTCTTTTAAAATTCTTTCCACTTTTTGCACATGAAAATGCCTTTTGTAGTCCTCATCTATTTTTATGCTTTATTGAAATGAGTTATTTAAAAACCCGTATGTTTTCCAGGTTTTTGGTTTTTCCTTTTCCCTCGTACTACTGTTAAAAAAAAACTGGATAATCAGGTTATGTATTGGATTTGTGAATTCAGAAGCAGTTAAGCACCAAGTACATTGTTAGCAGTTATATAAACTTTTTTTTAATAGTTATACAAATAGACAAGTATGAACTTTAATTAGCAGCTTTCTTCTTTTTTCTTTTTCTCACTGGCTTTTTACTGGGTGCTTTTTCTTCTCTTAAAGTGATAGCCTGTGTTCTGTAAATAGAAAGTAATAAGCAGTTTAATCACAATAATGACACTGGGAGCTGATTCTACTGCTGATGTACCGACAACCCACCGTTCTGCACATTAAATTTTGGATCATCAAAATAGAAAACCTCAATTACTGTCCCCTGGTACAATGTAACATGGCCATTTATTAACAGTAAAATACATAACTGAAGAAGGTATCTATCTTACAGAATCAGGCCTTAATGTTTTTTCTAAATCTCAGGTTGAAAGCCACAGGAAGGCTGGATTTCTAATGAAAGGCACTCTTGGACAGGCTAAAATCAGAATAAGCCTCAATAAGTTATCTGTTTGTTACCTTATTTTCTTTGGATTTTCGTCTGGTTCTAAAATGATCATTTCTTCTTCTTCGCTGTCTGAGAGTACTATAGGGGCATCTGGAGAAGAGCGCGGGGGATAGGAAAGGGGGGGAAAAACTTGAAATTTGTCCAAATTTGGAAGATTCCAGTTTCAACCAAGCAGCCTGAGCTGCTCTTTGGGTAGGGGCTCACAGACCAACTTGGTTCTTTCCCACCTCCAAGGGTTATTCCCCATGAACCATTTGGCACATGTCCTGACAGCAAAGTGAGAAGAAAATAGAAATAAATCATGTTTAATATAACCAATTTGGAAACAGACAATATTGAATTCCTTATGGTATTCCACAAGACGGCGCCACAATTACAAACACTGAAAGAAGAACCTCCATTAAAATTCTCCAGAAACTAATGCGACTTATACTTCATGAAGACCTCATTTCTTTCCATTTACTGCGGTTGACACTAGTCTAAAAGTGCTTACTTATCTCCTTTGAATGCATTTATTTCTGCCAGGATCTATCATGAAATGTTATGTTTGTAGTTCAGAAGTTCTTTGTATCTTTGGTCTTCTTTTCCTTAAGCATGTTAGAGATGTTGGCTGTGGTCCTCTAACATTAAAAACCTACACATTACCAAGATAGGTGTAATTAAATTAGTCCTGTTCAATGCTATAAAATTCTCTACACTGTATCCTTTAGAGGTTGGTCCAGTTCCTATATGTCTTGGTATGTTTTGTACCTTTTTATTTTTAAATGCATGACTGTTTTTCAAGGATTTGGTGGTTCTGTTGTTTTTGGAGGCCATATCCAGGAGTGCTAAGGGCTTCTTCCCAGAGTTTTGCTACATGAAGGCAAACATCCTACCTGCTGAGTTTGGTTTTAAAACAAAAAGTATCCACAAGTCTAGTCTTCAGTTCTATGGGATATGGCTCCAGTAGAAGCACGTGTATCAAATGTGTGAGGCCCTGGGTACTCGCAGAACTGTTAGGTTCTCATATTGCTCCCATGGTAGCATGTGGGTTTTTTTTTTTTGTCGCCCCCACCAGCCTTATCCTTCATTTTGGCTAGAGAAACTACACTCAGCAGTGCCCAGGGTGCACACCTGTAAGTGCACGAAGAACATGCAAGGCCTAAGATCAAACTGCATAATCTACATTCCAGGCAAGTGCTTTACCCACTGTACTATCAAACCTTGCAGCTGTTTTTGTATTATAGAATTTTTATTATAAAATGAAAACAATTCCTCACACAAGTCAAACTTTAATTGCTCAATAGGTATATGTATATTGGATCATATAGACAAAAAACATTTCTATATGCAGAAAGCCCTGTTTGGAAAGCACTAATACATTATGACATGGTTTTTTTTTTTTTAATATTTGAATTTAGAAAGTACTGTAGAGAGGTATGCAGAAGTGATATCATTTAAAGAAACCTCATTCTTGGAGATTGTACAGGGCCTTTAAAGTGCCTGCCCTGTTGTATGCTGCTGAGCAGTTTGATCCCTGATACCACAAAGTATACAATAGCACAGCGGGTAGGGCGTCTGCCTTGCACGCAGCCAACATGGCCGACCCGAGTTCGATTCCTCCGCCCCTCGGAGAGCCCGGCAAGCTACCGAGAGTATTCGATATGCCAGACACAGTAACAACAAAGTCTCCAATGGAGACGTTACTGGGCCCGCTCGAGCAAATCGACGATCAACGGGAGGGCCTTTACTTTACCTTTACTTACCACAAAGTATACTCCTAAATGACACCCCCCACCCCCCCAAAAAAAACACCATAGCCCTCTAAAACAAGCCCAGGTACATACAAATAAAAAAGCAAAACTTTTTTAACGATGTAAAGTGCCACTCAAGGGCCTTGAGAGAACAACAACATGCAGCGGGTCTGGTTTAAATCCCCAGCACAACATGGGCCTTGATACTGTCTGATGCGGCCCAAAAAACAAAGTGCCGCTGCCCTGTGAAGGTAAGTAAATGTAGGAAAGAACTTAACAACTGCATTAACTTCAATAGCTTAACTGCGTTTAACTCCTATTTACTTTCTCCTAAAAAGGAACTGCTAATATAATAAATCACTGAGACCAGGAAACAGACATTAGGTAACAAAACCCATAAAGCACCACCTACCTTGGCTTCCATTATTAGAGACTTCCATTACAGTATCCATGCTGATACTGTCAAGAACGATAGCTTCCTCACTGCCACCTTCATCCTCGTCTTCTTTCTCAGAGTCTTCAAGTTCACCCCAAGTATTTTCTATGCCCTCTCCAATCTGGGCAGTACCAGGAGTCCATAGTATAGGTTTAGAAACACTTACAAGTTAAGAAAACTAAAGGATAAAATACTATTTGATGCAGTACTGAAAAACAGAATCAAAGTTTCCTTTTAAGAACACTGCAATTATGCCTGAAATCTTGGGGGTGTTGGGGGAGAGCATATCCAATTCAGTGGTACTCCGATTACTCCTGGCTCTACGCAAAGGACTCTGGTAATGCCTGAGGAAGCATATGCGGTGCCAGGCATCAAAGAGTTTAGCCAAGTTTAAGGTAAGCACCTCCAATCCCTGTGCCTTAAATTCTTAGAGGAAGCCATTATGATACGTATAATAGGGATAGCTGAACAAAGAGAAAAAGAATTGGTAAAATTTCATGGCAACTGAGAAATTAGCAAAACACATACACTAGCTCTCAACCTTTCAGTTGTAGTGAGAAATCTGGTATATGGATGAGTAGCTTCAAGAATATGTAAAAGCAAGTGCTTGACCAAACAACTGATTAAAGAACAGAACTTATTCTTCACGTTATGGATGTTCATAACTTTTAGTAAAAGAATGGAAGAGGAGGTGGATATCCTTAATTTTTCACGTCACTATCTTTGTCTTCTATCTTAAGTATCTTCTAATACTATGTTTCAAAGAATAAATTTCACTAAGCAAGCCCTTCACATACCCTGATTGCACCAAATTTAAAAACAAAGATACACTTCTGAAGGAGGTTCAGCTTCAGCAATGATTTCTTCTGCCTTCTCCTCCACAGCAGAGGTATCAACGGGGGCCTTTTCCATTTTAAATGCTGTGATCCTTTGATGTACCATAGATTCTGCAAAGCCACACTTTCCACCTTCTTTCCTGTGTAAATTTCAGGGGGGAGTGGAAACCAGATGAGGTAAGGACGGGGGATATTAGAAGGGGAATAAATGACTAAGGGGAAAAAGTTAACCACCTTGCCTCTGAGGGATGAATCTGAAATGAAACAAGTTTGGCTAGCAAGTTAACCTCAAAATCTGTAAGATTAAAAATATGTAGAGGACCAGGGAGCTTTCTCTAAGGGCTGGAGTGCATACTTTATACACAGAAGCCCTGGGGCCCTGGGTTTGATCCTTGGTCCCCCAAATCAACAGGGTGTTGACGCCCTCCCCACCCCACTTGCTGTATTTGCCACTTAATAGACTATGTTCCAAGCATGTACTACGTTCTTCAAGTGAGCAAACACTGATATCAACCACAGCTTTCTATTCTATTAATTTGAATCACTACATTCTTTTTCCTTAAGAAAAAGTTCATTGTGGCTGAAGTAATAGTATACTAGATAGGAAACTTGATTTGCATGTGGCCTGCCTGGGTTCAATCCCCAGCACTACATCTGGTCCCCCAAGCACTCCCAGGAGTAAGCCCCGAGCATATATCAGATATGGACCAACCATCCCGCCACCACAAAAAAAAGTTAATTTAAAACTTTTGCTTTTAATTGTAATAAAGTAATAGCTCAATTACTCAAGTGAAAAACTGACGGTTATCCTTTTGTAATAAGTGTCAACAGAAAAATGCATAGAAAGGTCAATGAATTCTGAAAAAAATTTAAACTTACCTAACTTTCTGATCATTCTCCAATGCTTTCTGTATTAGCTCTGTTATTTCTGCTACTTTCACACCAGCTATTTTGCTGCATCTCAAAACCTAGTTGCAATAGTAGACTCCATTTATTTAAAGATAAAGCTATTCGAAGAAAGAAAAGTAGTTTTTGTATCTTTGTAAGTTAGCCTAACCTTTATTTTCAAATGAAAACAATACACTGGAAACACAGATTACATTAAGATGTGGAA